AGAGTGTCAAGGATAGTTGGAGAATTAAAAGACGAGTATATAAATATTTCTATATATGATAATTTTCTTCTTCTTTTTTTCTTTTTTTCTTTTTTTCTTTTTTTTTTTCTTTAATTAGATCTATTTATTTTAGATATTACATGTTACAAAGACGAAATCCCAATGCAATATTAAAGTTGCCTGATACTCAAAGTAATATTGATATCGCAACAAACGAACCTGCAGTTGGAGGTGTATATCTTAGATTATTTATATCCAGTCCCGCCTGGGCTCTTAGAAAACCTAAAGAATTTTTAAGTGAACTTATGGATACTACATTAACACTTATGTCGAAAGAAAAAACCGATGTAAGTGAACAAAAAAACAAAATAAAACTAATGTTAACTTTGATGTTTGAAAACATATTGATTAATTTAATCATTCTCTGCAATAGTCAGATATGTTGGAATTAACAACACAAGCAGTAGTATGTTTACTTCAAGCACAACCAAGTTTAGCAGATCAAGTTCCATCATTAGGACATATACCAAGACTTTGTCGACAAATGGCAATGCAAAATAATCAACCATCCGTATATAAAACCGCAATATTAATACTTCATCAATTAGCAGCAAGTGAAGTGAGTTCATTAATTTTTTTTTTTTTTTTTACATGATACATTATTTAATATCTAATATTAAATATTATATTTTTTTAGATTTGTATATCGTCTATTTGTCAAACAGAATGTATAAGTCCATTGAAACATGCTATGCAATCTAGACGAGATATGATAGCAATTGCATGTGAAACATTAAATAGACTGTTTTCAACTAATGAAGATAGACTTATAAAACAGGTAAATAAAATTTTAGATATTATTATTGACATTAAAAATTTAATTTACCATTATTAAAATATTTTGATATATTTTTCCAATATTTTAATCATTTTGAATAGGCATTAGATGCTGAAATGGTACCTTATCTGTTAAATATATTAGAGGGACGATTGGATGTAATTGAAAATCCTGCAACTGCTAAAGCTCAAATAGTCAAAGCTTTAAAAGCAATGACTAGAAGTTTGTTGTTAGGTGAAAAAGTAAATGCAATACTGGAAAAATCAAGTGTTTGGGCGGAATACAAAGATCAGCGACATGATTTATTCATTTCTAATGCAACTAATTCTGGTTATCTTACTGGTAAGATACACATAGTTATTATTTTAATTTCTATATTTAATTTTCAACATGCATAATATATTTAAATATAAATTATAATATATAGCTGGAACGCCGGTATCTGCTGGTTACTTAACAGCTGGTCCCAGTACCACTTTAAGTACCGGCCCACCTCCAGTTGACAAAGAAGATAGTTTAATTAATAGAAATGATAGTATCTGATATAGGTAGCATCTTAATTAAAAATAATAATAATAATAATAGGCAATAAGAATGCCATTTCTAGAAATTCCTATCGGTAAAACGATACCGATGTAAAGACTACATTGCCTGTGATTTTTGGCTCCTTAAAATAAGGAATTTATCAATGGAATAATGTTTTTGTTGAATTTACATTTATATTAAGATTATCATAATACAATGATACTTTTTATTATGCTATATAGGCAGATTATATAATTATGTAAGATATCATTTACAGAGATGTCAATGTGGCAAAAGATAGTATTCAATGAAAGTCTATTACAAAACAAATTTTTCTAGGAAATGTCCCTCAAATAAAATTCCCCTTCGTCGATTATAAAGATTTTTTAGACAACGTTTCATTTTGTACTTAGCAAATCTTCCAACATAACTTTTCTATGTTATTATAATAAATGGACTTACAAATTCCTAACAAATGAAGGAATAATACGTTCAATGTTTAGCGTTATTGCTATATCTAAGTGTGATTAGTATTCCTTGAAGAGATTTTTAATACTTATAAATAAATATAATATTTAGTCCAACTTGAAATGTTTAGTGTCTCATGTATCAATTAAATTTTATTGTTTCAGTTATCATCATTGCATAAAAATGTATAATCTATATTTATTAATATATCTATTCTAATCGCATTTTTCGATATAGCAAAATGTTTTAATTTTTTTTTTTACATAATAAATTCATGATCGCTTAATATTTGTAATATAAACAGCATAAACATAAATATGCTATTTTCTTTCATATCTCAAAGGGTACAAAAGCGTTGTTATATAAACACAATTTATCATTATTTTTTCATAATCATTTCATACTTGTTTTTTTAACAAGTTTTATAAGAAAATATTATAAGCGTATATTAAACGTCTATCGAATAAATCAAACAATTTTGAATACATATAATATTATAAAAAATTGGACAAATATTTTAAAATAATATTTATTCATTATTTTGATGCAATATGTGTATATCTTTTCTTTTCTTTTTTAAAATATCAAATGTATATACATATATATATATATATATATATACATATATTGTACTTTGTTACATAGTTCGTTTTATGTACGCTTACGATCGAAAAAAAGCGCTAAAATTTCTCAGAGATACTAAAGAAGGATCTATCAAATGGAATAGATTCCATAGATAGAAAATTCCTCTTTTTCATATCAATTTCTAGTATTTTAATGAGAAATGATAATTCAATAAATATGGGCGGACATTTGTAGAACTTAGGAATATAAAATATGAAACAAAAGAAAAAAAAACACGCTATGCGTTGTTTTTTACTTGCCATCCAATTATAATCCATCAATATTATAATACATTTTTGCTACTTTGAATCGACGAGTTGAGCGTTTACGGCATTAAATAAATAATAAAATAAACAATAAAAACATAAAAATATTAAGAAATATTAAGAAATATTAAGAAAATATAATATAATAGTTCCTCTGATAGCAAGAATATATATGTGCCTAATGGTCGCAATGTAAACATTTCTATAACAAAAGAGATAACTCAGTTCCTCTTAGATTTCAAATCTTAAATATTTCTGACATTGATAGTACGATATTTGAACAAAATTTTTTATCTCCGTACACTCGACTCGTCAATTGATTCTTTTTTTGGAGAAGTGAAAAAAAAGTGAAGTGATTAGTTAGAAAAAAAGCGATCAAGATAAAACGATCAAATTGAAAAACTTATCATGGTTATCATATGATATATAAAAATAGAATAAAAACTAATTGGCAACTATTCTTGCTATGTTATATGTAATATTGTTACTGATAATGAAGTAACTATGTAAACAAATATGAAAGAGTCTTTGTTATTTTTATGTATTTGCGCCTGAGTTCTTAAGATCGAAAATAAAATATTGTATATAAACATATATATATATATGAAAAAAGTTATACCACAGATTATTGTACGTATAATTAGAAAATAAACGATTTTGCACATGATATAATTAACAATGATCAACTATAAAGTGATAAAATTCTTTTAATTCAATTATATTTGTGAACATTATTTAATCAATCAACAAAAAAATTTTATTTTTCAGATATATTTTACTATTCCTAAGCTTCGTATATTATCATTTGTTATTGGAATGATAAAAAAATAATTTGTCTAAATTTTTAAATAAATATTAGTTATGATTATAAATCATTATTTATCTAATATATATCATAAATTTCAAGCAAGAAAATATGATATTATATTAACAATTTTGTAATTCGTATAAATATGAGTATATCAATAATTAGGTTTTAATCATAATTTCATCTTATTTAGTCTTAGTTTATTTATCAAATATTCAGTGATGAAACAAATTTTTGTATTTCATAATTTTATTTATTTATTATTTTTTTTTAATAATTATTTTAAACAAACCAATTTTAATTTAACATATAATTTTATATTATAACTCAAAGATCATTTCATTTTATATGAAGATTTTAAAATTTTTAAATTCTATTATAAATTTCAATATACAGAATAATATCTATAATTATAATTTTTTATATTAAAATATTATCCAAAGAAAGTAAAATTACAAATATAAAATTTATATTTTAATGTTTTATTTAAAACGTAAATTATATGTATATTTAAAATGAAAAGAATAAAATATTAGATTGTTGCAAATAAAATATTCAAATTTTTAATAAAACTATTATGTTTATAATTTTATTGAAAATAATATTAATTAAAATTTGACTCAACAAATGCATCTATAAAAGTACAAAAGCATTATCTTTTTCTATTTAATAATTTTGTTAATTATTATAATTAATTGATTGTTATTGATAATATCTTTATTTATTTTTTATATTTGTTATACATACTTTTTAAAATTTTTATACTAATATAAACATTGTTTTTTCTCAATGCATGTTTTTTGAAAGTTTTTTTCTATTAATATTAATAATTGTTGACACATTATATAAATATATTCATTAATATATTGATAATTTTACGAAAAAAATCACATAGCAAGATTATTTTGGAAGATTATCATAAAGGGAAGAGTTCAATCTTTAAGTTTATTGTAGATTTGATTCATATTCTTTATAAAAAAAAATATTAAATTATAAAAAATTGAAAAATTATTAGTTTAAGAAATATTGGAATTAAATATTTTTTATCTTTTAGATATTTCATAATAGTTTCTTATTATAAATGATTTAATAATCTTTATAGAAAATAATGTATTACATTTATCAATGTATCAAAAAATAAAAAAATTCTACTAAAATTTCTATTAAAAAATAATTTGACATGCATGTAATCTTTATACATTTATCTACAAAAACATAAATAATATCAGAACTTAAAATTTTTTAAAACAGAAATAAAATATGGCATAAAATATGAGAATTAACGCCATCTTCAGAATGCCGCAAATGAAACTAATGTAGACAAAGAAAACAAATAATAGGAGAACAAATGATAGAGATAGAATAAGAATTGATTTTTAACGCCATCTTTAAAAGATTAAAAATATTAAAAAATTATGTTTTTAAAAACATTTAAGAGATGGTGCTAATCTTTAATTCTTATTCTATTTTGTTGTATTTTTGAAAAGATGTTTTTTGTACTCAAAAGATGATGCTAATGATTAATTCTTACTTTTAACTCTATTTTTTTCCTACTATTTACTTTCCTTGTCTATATTAGTTTCATTTGCAATATTTTAGAGATGGTGTTAATTCCGCAATTTTTAGCCTATCTCTGTCGTTTTCTTATTATTTGATCTTCGTCTATATTTATTAATTATTCATGCGAAAGAGATATAACATAGAAATTAATAAAAAAAATAATAAAAATATTAAATATGAAAATAGTTTGCGCTGCCAAAAATTGTAAATATTCTTCAAGTAATAAAGATGCGACAAATATCAAATTCATTAATTTTCCAAACAGTGATATGTAAGTCATTTATTTATAAAATAAATATTATTTAAAAGTAATATTTCTACTTTATAACTAAAATATTACATTTTTGTATAAATTATATATTATTTTCTTACAGTTCAAAAATATGGGCACATCATTGTAATAGAACAGACCTTTTAATAAAATCTAACGAAGAATTACATTTAAATTATTATATATGTTCTCATCATATAGAGGATCATTTTTATATAAATAAAACAGATCCTATAATATTAAATGAAAATGCTATTCCAACATTATTTGAATCACATAATGTTGCTGAAAAAGATTCAAGAAATGTCTTTGAGAGAAATGAAATAGCTAATAATATTGTATTATCATATTGTGATATGGATGCTGAAATGGATCAATATCATAATATTAGTATTAAATTTTCAAATTTATGTAGAATATGTGAGGAACCATCTTTGGATGGCATCGAAATATTTTCACTGAAAGGAATAGATTTAAAATTAAAAGAAAAGATTAATTTACATTTACCAATCACAGTTAATTTAGAGGATTTAATGCCACAAAAATTATGCATGAATTGTTACAATAAACTAGAAGTTGCACATTCATTAGTTATAACATCCCTAAAAACAGATATGAAATTGAAAAAACTTTTGAATATGAATACAGAGGTAAATAATAATTTATTATTTAACTAAAATGTATTATAATATTAATATTAATTATTCTGTTTTACAGCTAAATTATGATCATAAATATGATGAAATAACAAAAAAATGTTCGTTAGAAATAGCTGAAGAAATATGTATTAATGAAGCGACTGAAATTACACCTATAGAATTATCTTGTAATAAAGTTAGTGAAATTACCAATCAAAAAATCTCAACTAAGTTTACTCAATTGGAAAATATTAATATACATAAAAATAATTTTGTAAATAATATCAGGAAAGAAGTGCAATATGAATTACATAAATTTGAATCACATAATGAAAAAAATAGAGAAAATGAATATACAATTACAACAAAAAATTATCTAAATAATGAAATATTAAACAATGAAATTCAATGCTTTTTTTGCAAGAATACATTTAAAACACAAGAAATATTTGAAAATCACAAAATATTATGTGATAAAGAGAAAACAATGGTACAAAAGGATAAAGGAACTAATAATAATATGAACGATAAAGAATCCTGTAATATAAATCTAATGGATTTTCAATTTATAAAGACTTGTAATATTTGCCAAGAACATTTTGAAACTGAAAAAGACTTTATTGAACATAAAGTATCATATTGTAAAATTCTTTCAAAGAATTATCAAAATCCTAGTAAAGAAAACAAAGAATCATACAATAACTATAATGATTCTTGTAATATCAAAAGTATTCCACCAATGGAAACTAATAAAAAATGTGGTCATTGTAATTTAATTTGTAATACTAAAAAGGAATTATTAAATCATATTATGGAATGTCATCAAGGTCAACTTTTATTTAAATGTATCATATGTGACAGAAGTTTTGAAAAGTGGTCTAGTTTAGATATACATGAAGCTACTCATAGAATAGATAAACCCTATTTATGTGATTTATGTGGAAAAAGTTTTAAACATTCTAACAATTTAAGAGGTCATAAAAGAATTCATTTAGATGATTCAAGAAAGAAACGACATGTTTGTGATATTTGTGGGAAAGCATATAGATCTAGGTAGCATTTTATAGTTTCTAAATATTATGTAATATATTATGTATATATTTAAATAGCATAAATTCATAATTTTTATGTTTTTATTAAATTAATAATTCAGATTTCATTTGGGAGAACATATGAATCAACATAATGAAAATAAACCTTATTCTTGTGAAAAATGTGGTAAAGCATTTTATAAAAGAATACAACTAAGACAACATAGATTATCACACGGATCAAATAAACATATTTGTCCAATATGTGGTGCAGCTTTCAATCGTAAAGGAATATGAATACACATATAAAACGTCATAGTAATGGGGGTAGTACATATTCATGTAGTGTAAGTATATCATTGTCAGAAACAACTTAATAATAATCAGAATTATAAATATATTATTTCTAGATATGTATGCATAGATGTAAATCAATGAGTGAATTGAAATCACATAGAAAAATACATACAGAACAAGATATTATAGACAATATGAAAAAAAAATATAATGGCAAAACTATATGGCAATGTAAAAATTGTAATCGAATATTTTCAACGCAAGCTGTATTATTAAGTCATGAACGTATACATAAAGAAGAAAGAACAAGCATTGATTGTAATATTTGTGGAAAAAAATTAGCTAACAAAAATTCTTTAATATATCATAAAAAATCTATTCATTCTTCAAATAAGATCTATACATGTCAATACTGTGAAGAATCGTTTATTTCCAAAGAAGCACGTCTTATACATGAAAGAATACATACTGGAGAACGTCCTTACGTTTGCAAAATATGTAAAATGGAATATAAATGTTCAAGTAATCTTAATCAACACATAAAAATTCATTCTGATATTAAACCTTTCAAATGTACATATTGTAATAAGAGTTTCACACGCAAAGGAACATTAAATGTGCACGAAAGAATTCACACAGGAGAGAAACCATTTGCATGCATAATATGTGGTAGAACATTTTCGCAAAAAAATGATATGATCAAGCACACTAAAACTCATAATGCTAAATCATTATGTTGTGAACAATGTGACGAAGTTTTCGCAAGGAAAAAAGATATTCTGAAACATATTTCTTTGCATGAACAAAATAATCCAATAATTCAGGAATATATAGAAATACAACAAGAAATAGAACCTTATGTAGAGCATATAGCATGTTCTGAATTTGAATGACTTTTGTATATAAAAAAAAATAATATTATATGCTAAGGAAGTAAATATATCTATAATACAATTGTATAATAAATGTATACATTATAACATATTGCAGTACACAGCCAAATTATTAATAATATTTTATTTTTGTAATTATTTAACAAAAATTAAATATATATTTTATTCTTTATGAATTATTTAATTTTAGTTTTTATATATAAATCTCACATTTAAAAATTTAATATAATTCATTATCATTATAGATAATATAAAGAAATAGCATATCATAGTTTCTCATTAATAAATAGTATGATTATTAATTTCTAATAAAAAAAAATTTTTATTAATAATTATTTTATTTTTTAATAATCTTTTTATTAATAATTATTTTAATAAACATTATTGATATAATCAATTTATAGTTTCAACGAATCAATACAAAGTATATTATAATTAATAAAATTTTCTAGATTAAATTAGATTGAAAAAATTAACATATCAAGAAAATATTTTTACAAATTACTAATATATTTAATAATATAATAATAATATAATAATGAATCTTTATTTAAGTAATATTTTCTATATTTTTTCTTCTTAATTCTAATTTATACAGAAAAATTTAAAATTAAAAATAAAAACTATTTTCATTTCAAATCAATAATTCATGTAAAGAATATTATTCTTTTTTAAACGATTTAATTTATATTTTTTCATATACAGAATGTTAATATATTAGTAACACATTTTTAGAGGATCAATTTTTGATAACAAACACAAAATTGATATAAAAATGTTAATTGAGATTTATTAAATAATAAATAATTTAAGTTTGCATTAATCACGAAACAAGATGAAAACAGAATGAGATTGCAGTATAACAGAAATAAAGCTCTCATTTCATCTAATATAAACTTCAATTAATCATAACTTAGTAAAGAAATTTAATTTGTGCATATCAATTTTTATATTTATTTTATTGTTATTTGATTTTTATAAAAAGGTCCCAAAAATATTCCATGAATATATTAATACTCTATATAAAGTGTTTTTATGAAAATTCAATAAAAAATATAATTCTTCTATTAATTTAATTAAATATTCTATTTGATTAAATTTATTTATAAAATATTTATTGAAAATTCATATTATATAATAACACAAATTTAATGATCATATTATTAAAAAAGAAAATCTGTTTTTATTATATTAATAAATGTTTTAAATGTAAAACATTATAATAAAATTATTATTTTATATTGATGTCAAAATATTTGCGTCATTTTATTAAATTGAATTGTTTCATTGTTCTCAGAAAAGTAATTGAAATGCATTACTACGTATTAAAAATGTTTTATTTATGATATTCTAATTTAAATGCAATAAATCTTAATAATTTTAACCTAAATGTCTGTTCTTATTAACATTATAGATCATTAGAATTGTAAATAACATTGTATATAAGATTTGGACATTATAGTATCGCTTATTTTTGTAATAAAAGTATGAAGGAATAATATACTTTTCCGTCTTAAAGTGTTTAAACTATATTATAACTGTTAAATTAAAAAAATTCAATGAAATCAAATTATTTATAAATCTTAAAACAATTTATCATCTGAAAACAATATTATCAAAAAAACTTAAAAATGGATAAAATAAAAATTGTGCAACCTAATAATAAAGAGAATTTAAAAAACACTAGTGATAGTCAAATACAAAAATTCTATAGTGGAAAACATATATTTTTTACAGAATATACTAGTCTTCTTGGAAGTAGCATTTTAGAAAAAATTCTAATTACGTGCACTGAAATTAGCAAAATTTATGTTATGATTAATGTAAAAAATGATGTATTGATAAAAGAACAATTGAAAAAATATTTTCAAAATGAGGTAAGTAATAGAACAAATACGATAATAATATAAAAAGAAAATGAATAGAATTATGATTATTGATATATTTGAGATAATTAAAAACTGATATTAAATTAAAAATGAAATAAAGCAGAGAAAATGAGATAAAATGAAAAATTATTGAAATTTATAAAATTTTGTTTAAATTCGATTAAAAATACTTATTCATATCTATATGTTTATAAATATAAAAACACAAATTTAATTTAGTTAACTTTCTTTCATTTTAATATAAAAATAACTGTAATTAAAATAAATACTTAAAATACTTTATTGCTTTGATTTATTTTTGATAAAAAAAAAATTAATAATGTAAAAGAGATTCAAATGTATGAAAAATTTTAAAATGAATTTACGGTAATCATTTGAATATTATTTAACATACATTATGCATCATAGGTCAAATGTGATTTTTTTTGATGACAATAATTTCTAATTAATGCATTAAGCGGAAATTAACTTGCAAAATTTAAAAATACGAAATATAATTTCTTACAAATTAAAATCCCACTTATAATTTTCAGATATTTAATACGTTACGCGAATCGAATCCGAATTTTATAGAAAAAGTCGTACCAATTTATGGTGACTTAAGCAAAGCCGATTTAGATCTATCATCAGAAGATCGTCGATGTTTGGTGGAAAATGTGAATATAATAATTTATAATGGATCGGTCGTACAATCAAAAAAAGTATCCTATATATTACGTTCAAACGTAATTGCAACGCAAACACTTCTTGAATTAGCTACGGAATGTTCGCATTTAGAGGCATTCGTATATGTTTCAACTACATTTTCTCATTCTTATAACAAATCATCGAAGAAAAATTTTATCCTGTTGTGGGCAATATAAAGCTAATCGAAGATGTGATACGGGTCGATGAAGAGAATGAATCTGGAATTACCAATGAAGCACTACGCGATATCATAGCAGACTCGGTAAATTTGTATGCCTTTAGCAAAGCTTATGCTGAAGATTTAGTTTACAATTTTGGCAAAAAAAAATCGCTTCCTTGTGTTGTCTTCAGGCCTTCCATGGGTATGATAATTATATTTTAATATATTTTTAATTTAATCCTAGAAAAAGCTAAAATATATTTTATATAAACTATATGCAGAATAATCGAATTAAGCTATAATTTTAAAATGGAAAAAATTTTCGTCTATTTTTGATTTACACATTACATCTATAGCATCTATAGTTATTGTTTTAAATTTTGTTTTATTATTATATGTTTTAAAGATAAAAATTTTAAAATGTTGTCATTCTTATATGAAATAATAATAATAAAAACATATCGCGTTATATTATTTATTTTAACAGTTGCATGTACAAATGAAAAGTTAATTCCATTAAAGAATAAAAATGATGTACTATTGTTAGCGAAGGCAATAAGTCTAGGTTACATACATGTAATCAATCTAAAGAAAACTGATACTATGGATCTAATTCCAATTGATATGACAGCTAATAGTCTTTTGGCAATGATTTGGGATTTCGTTGTTTATAGGTATTTTTTTATTATATACTTTATGATAATGATATGATCTAATAAAATATATTATCTAATAAAATAATATTATATTTATTATCCATTGTTATTAAAAAAAAAAGAAAATTGTATACAAATAAAATTAGTATTTTTATTGTTTTTTTTTCTTGTTTTTAGGAAAAAAGATGAACCACAACAAGTATATAATTATGGATCTTCTGATTGGAATCCCATAACAGTAGGTTCGGCGTCAGAAATGATATTTAAAGAAATAGAAAAAAATCCATCAGATAATGTAATTTGGAAACCGTATTTAATATATATTCAAAATATTTGTCTTTTTTCGATACTTAATATAATATTGAATATTATTCCTGGTATATTGATTGATTTAATCTTATTAATTAGTGAAAAGGAACAACCACCGTAAGTTTTTTTTATGATTCTTATTTAAATAAAAACGTAACATTAAAATTTATTATAATATCTAAATATTTCATATTTATTTTGCGTAGAATTATGAAAACAATTCACAAGCTGAAGAAATGTTATTTCCCAATTATACAAATCTTCAAAGCTAATCACATTATAAAAACAAATAAATTTAAAGAATGTCTAACACGGATGAATACAACCGATTTAAAAGAATTTCCTTTTAATTTAGCAACACTGAATTGGAATGATAGCATGGTTAAATTAATGACATGTTGTCGAAAAGAAATGAATGAGCCAGTAACCGCAAGTCCTGCCACAAAGAAAAAGTATCGAAATTTAGTAAAGTTACATTTCATTACTTGTGCTTTACTTATGCTTTTTTTATTGTATTTTTTCTATAGGATATTGTCTAATTTTTGTCACCACTATCATTATTGATATAATAAACATAAGATGAAGTTATCATATGGATATGTTTTCATTTTTACCATTTATTTTTCAATGTATGAAAATGATTAATTTTGAAGATTAAGGGTAAAGGATTGCAAAATAGCACAACACCATTATTATATATAGAATAATACTCTTTATTGTTTTTGATAGTTTTTGTTGTTGTTGTCCATATCGTGCGTTATCCTCTTACTTTTTTTCAGGTTAATCATTTTTGCGCTGCATTTGTTGTTTTGCATTCTTCTTTTGTTGTTGCTGATTCTTTGCTGCTTGATATTTTGGTAAAACGGTATGCGATACAACGACACAACTGTATGAAATAAAGTATGAGAAACGAACGAAGAAAAAGAAAAAGATACAAACATGTCCAATCACTCGAGAACCGTACATTTTTCGTACCGTATACACTGGGACCACTTAGGACTAGAGTAATTGCGATTCATACTTTTTCTTTTCTGTAATTCTTTTTTTTATTTTTTTCTTTTTTCTTTTTCAGTAGTAATTGGCAAGCACGCGTGCAAAGTAACGAATCGCGAACACGCATTAAATTAAAATATTATTTTCTTTTCTCTTTCGCTTCATTTTGCGTTTATTAAGAAAAATGAGCAACTTAATCTCACTTTTTCTATTCTTTTCTCTATTATATATTTTCTTATTTATTTTTATTATTTAGATCATTATTAACATATTTTTTTTGTATTTTTTTTTTATTATTATTTATTATTTTAGATGCAGTCTTGTGACACGATACGGATTTACAGTCGAGTGATCGGCACACGTTCCGTAGATACAGCCGTGCATCTTAAAATTTGTTCTAGCTCTATTAAAATGGCCGCACACACGGTTCGTATGGCGAACGTACCCCCATCGGGACACATCGATTTCAGACTACTAGTTAATTCTCGAGTAATATATTATCGAAATCATAATGAATTTTAAGATGAAATCGTTTCTGAAATCTAGAGAACAGTTCATATATTTCGATATTTCCTATTTTGAATTCGCCTTAAAATCGAATATCCCTCCGGATAGTGCATTCGCTTCACGCGCCCGGCGCGATTTCGATGCAACTTCATCTTTTCTTCATTTTTTCTCTCTCTTCCATTCTTTTTTTCTCTCATTCTTCTCTCTCTCTCTCTCTCTCTCTCTCTCTCTCTTCTTCTT